TAATATGACAGGCTTTTGATAAATATTTTGAAAATAATGAATGAATGACTACCAACTATTCATTATGGTGCTTTAAATTTACCATCTTTTATTTAATTTTATCCTCACATCAACCCAGGAGGATATTAAAAACTTCTATTTTATAGATGAGGAATCTGAGGCTTCCTAAGGGATTGAGTAATTTGTTCAAGTTCTACAACTGATGAAAGACAAAGCCAAATTTTTACCCATATCTAAAGCCATATTCCAAAGAAGCATACTTAGAGTAGCAGTTTGCATATGTTACTGTTGAAAAAGTAATTCATAGTTTGTACTGTTCTGATAATAATTATAAGGATCTTCAGATATGAAAGAATTTTTAGTGTAATACACACAGAGGTGTCTTTATCTTACTTTTTTGGATCTTAGTTTTCTCATCTGAGAGATACATCATTACATTCTATAGTGCAAAAATAATACACAAAATTGAGCCTCATTTATTCCTAAGTGGCATCAAATTTGTGAAGAAATAAAGCAGTCAGCAAACTTTGTTACAGTTGACCTTTCTTTTCTTTTCTTTAGTTTAAGTGACTTCATGCGACACTCTTCCTTCACTATAGTAGGTTCATATGAATCATTTTAATACTCTATTGTGATTTCAAAAAAGTTCTTTAAGGTATCAGCTGTCAAACTATGAGACTAAAAATATTACACAATGAAGTAGCAAGAACAGGTTCAGAGACCATCTAGAGGGAGGTTATCTTTAAAAGGTCAACTTCTTTTACTTTTTCTTTTTTTATCTTAATATGAAAATTTCTCCTGTTCTTTTAGATAAAACAGGTGGGAAAAAATTCTCCAAAGAATTTGAAGAGGCAAGCTCCAAACTGGAGGAATTTGTGAATGGATTAGATAAGCAGGTGAAAAATGGGCCCTCATTAACTGAAGCACTGGAAAATGCTGGAATTTTCTATGAAGCACAATACAAAGAAGTAAAAGTGGTGGCCAATGTAAGTAATAATGAACACTATCATATTGAGTGCTTACTACATGGCAGAGACTGCTTACACTTGGTATCTAACTCTAGATGACAAGCATTATTGACTCCATTTCACAGATGAAGTTACTTGTAAGAAGGTTTTTAATCTTCTTCAGGGTAATATAGATAGTAAGCAGTAGAGTCTAGATTAACACTTGGGTCTTTCTGACACCAGCCCTTACGTACCCTAACCATTTTGCTCTCCTGAATCCTGATGTCTTAAGCTTAAAAAAAAAAGAGTTTTCCAGGTTACTGTTACAAGATACAAAATTGGGCAGAGGTATATGTACTTTTTTAAAAACCAGAAAAATTAGATAAACTATTACCAAATTCCATGGTAAATTAACTGAACTCTAATGATCTTCTCCTCTGCCCCACCACCACCCCAGGAAGAGGATGATGATAATTGGGCATTTATTTAATAGTTTCTGGAAAAAACTTTTATACTTACTTAAAATATTTTCTTTTTAATTTTAATTACTATATATGGTCATAAAAGCATATGGTACTATAGGACTAATAATGAAAAGTAAGCCTTATTTTTCTCCGCCCACTAGCCCTACTTCCTAGAAGCAGTCTTTTATTAACTCACTTATCTTTTTTTTTTTTCTCCTGGCATTTGTCTCAGTATTTTTAAATAATATACCTATTATTGTTCTTTCTTGATTTATTGTATTTTAAAAATATATATTAGCTTCCTGGTATGACAGATGAGGATTTAAAGGCAGCTGCCTTCTCCCTTCTCCCAATATTGTTATATAACTGTTTTAAATCTTCTGTTGATTACCTTGTAAAGTGAAGTACTATTTGTACTATTCTTTGACCACTAACTCTGTACTCCCTGTTTTTTAAAATGAAGATATTAACTTCCCTACCCTTTTTTATCAGTTTTCCTTTATCCTTTCAGTTACCCAACTTAAGCTAACTATACTTTCACATTGTTAAGGGTGGTAACAATTACATTCTATTCTGTACAATAATTAAGTCTTCTTGCTTCCTTGTTCCACAGATTGAAAATAACTTTTATACTATGTAATGTAACTATGTAAATATAACTTCATAAATATTATTCACCAAAAGTTCTTATTATAACTCTGGTTATTACTCTAGTTCTTGTTTTTTCCCTAGTATTTCTAATTGTCCTTTTTCTTTTTCTTTTTTTCCTGTATTGTTTGCCTTCTCGTAGCCTGAAACTTTTATTTTCAAATTTTCTATATGTCACTTCAGATATTCTGAATCGCCATTCTTGAGACCTCCTGTCTTAGTTACATGTCCTGCTGTAACAGAAATACCACAAATGAGTGGCTTTAAAGAACAGAAATTTTATTTTATCACAGTTCTGAAGGCTAAAGTTCAAATCAGGGTCTGGGCCATGTTAGTTCCTTACTTGTTGGTAGCCCTGGGCATTCCTTAGTTCCTTACCAATCCTCACATGGTATCTATCTTCCCTGGTGTGTGTTTAACTCAAAAGTAATTCTATCCTAACCCATCTGATTAACAAAGAAAACCGTATTTCCAAACAGTATTACATTCACAAGTGTAGCAGTTAGAATCCCAACACATATTTTGAGGGCACACAATTTAGTCTGTATCCCCACCCTATTTGAACTTCAATCCTCCTCCTCCAGTTTTAGGTTGCTTTCCAGGTCTTTTGTAATGGGATTATGTTTTACTGCCATTGTGAGTTGGGTTCTCTGTTTCTTTAAGATTCCATGTCTTTTCTTCTTTTTCTCCTGTTCTATTGTATCACATCCTCAAGTAATTTTCCAAAAAAAGGTTTATGAGAGAAAAATTTTGAGTCCTTAAAAAAAAACACCTGTTGGTGTCAAGTTAATTTTGACTCATAGTGACCCTTTAAGACAGAATAGTACTGGCCCAAAGGGTTCCTAAGGCTGTAATCTTTATAGGCAAATCTGCTTCAAAAGACCTCTTTAAAGTGTTGAAGAACAAAGATGTCACTTTGAAGACTAAGAAGTCCCTAACCCAAGTCATAGTATTTTCAATTGCTTCATATATATGTGAAAGCTGGACAATGAATAAGGAAGACCAAAGAAGACTACTGAAAATACCATGGACTGACAGAAGAATGAACAAATCTGTCCTGGAAGAAGTGCAGCAGGAATTTGGCTTCTTGGAAGCAAAAATGCCCAGACTTCATTTAACCTACTTTGCTTATTTTATTAGAAGGGACCATTCCCTGGAGAAGGAGATCATGCTTGGTAAAGTGGAGGTTGGCAAAAAGGGGAAGACCTTCAACATGATGGATTGACACAGTGGCTGCAACAACAGCAAGGGTTGAGAAGATGATGCATAACCGGGCAGTGTTTTGTTCTCTTGTGCATAGGGTTGCTATGAGTTGGAGCTGACTCAATGGCACCTAACAACAACACAGTTGTTATGGAAGCAGACTAGAATATCTTTCTCCCATGGAACAGCTGGTAGGTTCGAACTGCCAACCTTTTGGTTAGAAGCAAGCACTTTAACCACTGCACCATTAGGGCTCCTTCTGAGCCTTTCTGTGTCTAAAATATGTCTTTATGCTGTTTTCACATTTCCTTTGATACCTTGGCTGGTTGAAAATGATTTTCCCTCACAGCTTAGAAGGTTTTACTCCATTCTCTTTATGAGAATTAAGTCTTTATAGGATCCTCTTCAGGTGACTGTTTTTGTCTGTCTGAAAGCTTTTAGGGAGGGGCTTTATCTTTGTTGTTCTGAAATTTTTACAATAATGTATGTATTTAAGCCCTAGTGCCTAAGGCACTTGACTGCTAACCAGAAGGCTGGCGGTTCAAACCTACCAGCCACTCCTCGGAAGGAAGATGGGGCAGTCTACTTCTGTAGTGATACTGCCTCAGAAACCCAAGGAGGGGTAGCTATGAGTCAGGTCTGACTCGATGGCACATAACAACAAAAATTTGCTAAGACATGTATTTTAATTCCATCTCCCTGGCACTAGGTAGCTGCTGAAATCTCTGCTTGCCTTTTTAGCTTCCTACCTGCTATCACTGTGTTGCACTGTGGTGGCTTGCATGTTTCTCTGATTCTAGAAGCTATACCATTGTTATTTATTTATTTAATCATGATTTGAGTGAAAGTTTACAGAGCTAATTTGTTTTCCATTCAACAGTTAATACACATTTTGTTTCATGATGTTGGTTGCAATCCCAATAATATAAATAGCTCTTTTCCACTTCTTCTCTGTGGTTACCTTTCTCTCTGTCCTTTCCTGTGTATTCCTGCCTTCTGAGCTATCTCCCTGTGCAAATGCTGCCATTCTGATCTCCCATGGTTGATTGTTCTAAGAAGTGTACCTCCTGAATGTAATTTTCACCTTGTAGGCCTGTCTATTGTTTGGCTGAAAGCCACAGGAATGAGTTCAATACCAGGCCCAAATGGTGACTAGGGGCCATAGTTTTAGGGCTTTCACCAGTCTCTATAAAATTGGTAAGCCTGACCTTTGATAGGATTTTGAGTTTTCTTCCACGTTTTTCTCCCACTCTATCTAGGATCTCCTATTAGGATCCCTTTCTGAGTGGTTGGCTGTAGTAGCTGGACATCATCTAGTTCTCCTGGTCTTAGGATCATATACGTGGAGGGTCCTATGGTCCACTAGTCCTGTGGACTAGTTGTTTCCATGTGTTTTTTATTTTCTTCATTCTTTGGTCCAGACGAGCAGAGACCAATTGTTGGATCTTAGATGGCCTGCACAAGCTTTTAAGACTGTAGTTGCCAATCATCACAGTAGATTCTAAAACTATGTTTTTGTGTACTGTGTTACACCAATCGAGCTTGATGTCTCCCACAGCCATGGTCTTGAGTCCTCAGGCCCAGCAGTTCTCCCTCTAGGTATTTGGCTGTGACTTAAGAAATTATCTTAACTTTGCCCCCTGTTAGCTCTGTTACATATATGGATATTCTTTTTTTTTTTTCTTTATTAGGATTTGGGTGAAGATTTACAGAGTAAATTCATTTTTCATACAGCAGTTCACATATACTTTGTCTCATGTCATTGACCAAAATTTACAATGCAACAGCTCCCCTCCCACTTCCTCCCCATAGTTACC